CCCAATAGTTGCGATCGTTTGGAAACAATATATTAATTATTATAATTAATAATTCTGTTATGTTATAAAACCATACTTCTGAGAAACGACTAGATATTAGCACAAAATGTATACTACAGTAAGAAATGAATTTAGGAGAATTCATACCAAATGATTAGAAATAAGTCTAATATTAGTTATACAAGTATTTAAAGTGTAAACAGTAATTCGTTAGACTGTCAAACAAATTGATAGTTCACTTCTTATCATTGAAAATAGAAATAATCATTGATTTCATCGAAATGTGTGTCACTTCGGATCGGTTATGATCTCTGAGCCCATAATGTCATAAAGTGGTCGTATGGACCAAACACTCACTCAATCATAACTTGAATGAATACAGTATTACTCATTATTTTATCCTAATTATTGCGGACACAAAAACTCTGTCTGTATTGAAATACTCTAAATTTATCTGAAATATTAATTACTATTATTTAGTAAAATCAAAACTAAAATCTAGAAATAAAAACAATTCCCTAGTCAATTGTCTAATGATTACATTTATATAACTATTATTTATTTATAGGGTAGGTATATATAATAATATAATTCATAAGACAAAAGATTGAATGAAAATTCTTAGCAAAGTCTACATAAAATGCTAAATAAATCATTATATCTATAATATAATATTAAGAAATATTGCAATAATAATAATAACTATATGAATATTTTTGGTGAAAAGACTGACACCTATAATACAATAACCTATAATAAGTTATATGAATACCTTTAATAACAGTTGTATAATATTAGTCATTGTTATAAAAAAAAGTTACTCAAAAATTTGAGCATTAATTTCAAAAATTTGTTTAAATGATTGGGAAGTAATAAATGGATGACTAGTATTACAATTATTAGTATAAGTTTTATATAAAATTGGCTCAAATACTGACTTCCCATATAAAAGCTTTTAAATTGATTTTGAAATTTGTTATAAATGTAATCTTATGAGCAATTATTGCATAGAAAATGCAACACAACATGAATACATACAAAGATTTAAATCATTTATCACTTCTTAAGCTTTCGCGGATCAACACAATCAAAGCCAGACATTCAGTGCATGTGTTTATTAGAAGAAATTGTTGGCACTTGTATTGAATGTCCGGCTCATACATACATACATATACATAGACTCTCTACTTGTCATCAATTATGAAATACAGAGCAATACTATTACTGTAAGTCTATTAAGTCGTGTAATTACTCAATGATTCGATGAGAATCTCTTGAGGAACAGAACCTCTTCGCGGTTTACTATTGAAAAACCACTGCAAAGCCCCGGAATCGGCACCAGAATCGAGAGAACAGGCCTGCCTTCTCAAGAGTTTGGTGTGATGTTGAGCACTGGTAGTCGAGTGATAAAAGCTTTTATTTTTCTTTAATGAAGACACTAAATATTCGAGTGATCGGCCTCTCATGGCACCGGCTGTCCCATGAGTACCACCCGTCCGACTCAGTTTAGCACCGTTTAAGTTATGAATATTATTTGTTGAATGTCGAGCCTGAGCACCCACTCTGTCGGCCGGGAAAGAAGACCGTCTCGTCTGGTCCTGAGAGGCGACCGCCCCGTGAAGGAAGACTAAAGCGGCCGCCAATTCACAGCTCGCATACACTCCTATACATCCCGGAGCTGATCCACGGCGACCAATCATATGTTTCTAAATACAATTAATATTTCTTGTTCTCAATAAATTCATTTAATAGACTACATGTCTATAAATTGCCGTTTCTTTGCATAAATTGATAGATTCATGAAATTAGAGCATAAATCTAAAAAATCTTTTGAAAGTTAAGTTAAGCTTTAGATAGAAGTCAATGGTTTGTGAAATAGCGTTAATAGAGAATTGGTGTGCAAACTATGCAAAGGAATGCATTATATTATATAATAATAATTGTTATTCTGTTCTCAACTGAATATTCAAAAGACGACTATTATTACTATTATTATAACTATAATTAACATTTTGGGCACACTATCTATGAATATTCTGTTTGAATAATTAAATTTCATTTATTACATAAAAGCTGGAAATTTGTTATAAATAAACTTTCAGAATGCATTTTGAATAGACTTGATATTTGGTATAAAGAATTCATATATTAATGAAATACCTTATCATAAAAGTATGGGCCGTGCGATGGTTGTGATGGCATTTGAAAAGAATAGCTCTTAATATTAGGCGTAATGTTTTGGTAGGCGTAGTGTTGGACACGATCCTCTTCTTCTTCTTCATCGGTTTGCAAATCCCATAAAACTTTTGATTTATTAATAGACTTATTGTGGGACTCGTCAGCATTGGGCGGAGTGCCGCAACCATTAATGCATTGTTTGGCTTTGGGTTTATAGAGACTCTTGAACTGAGTTAAACTCATTTCCTTCGCATCTTTGATATCATTCAAAGAATGGCTTCTTCTAAGGGATTCATCACGCGGTTTGGCAGTGAAGACACACGAGCGAGAGTGTCTGCGCTTGAGTTTGCTTTTGATGAGTGAATGGTTCCACTGGTCGTCATTGAAACGAAGATTATTTATGAGTTGTCGTGACAGAGGAGAGCACAGGAATTGGTCCCATAAGTCGAACAGTGGGGTTACGATACTCTTGAAAAAGTCTTCAACCAATCCATTGATTCACAATTAATAAATGCATTAATGAATAGATATAGTAATATAGACATAGATAATATAGATATAGACATAGATATAGTAATACATACCTGTTTGTATACGAGCGATACCCATAGTGTGTCGGTTACATATAGGGGTGACCGGGATATTGAGTTGACTTTCATAATCTCCTTGTCTGTAAAATTCATTACAAATCTGTTCACTCCATCTTTTACTTAGATTCCATGGCCGACAAGGGTTTGCCAGATCTGCACACTTGAGGGCTATTTGTAATATGAAGTGTCGGTTCTCGGGTATTGTCATTGAAAAGGTTTCCGGTTTTGCTAAATAATTTTTAAACACCGCGATGTAATGACTTTGTCGAGTGATATCTGTGGCCAATATTAATGCCTTCAGAAGTGATTCGATTTGATTCCATTCTTCTGAAGCGAAGTGTTGGAAGATTTCCGAGTCGTGGAAGCAGGAGATGGCAAACCGCCAGTGATGGCTCTCCAGCACCGAGAAGTTCTGTTACATACAAACCATTCATTCATTTTGGGTTATTTACTATTAAGACACAGATTCTCAGTTTATACATATTAACTAACAACTTATCAAATTAAACCATTTTGCTAACTGTGTCAATGCATCTGTTTACAAACATTTGCATTTTTAATTACATCAGGTTATATCTTTGTAAGGCTACAGAATACTTACAAATTTAAGGGTGCCTATAACTTATGATATTTTGAAATTTTAATTTCTTAATTTCTTAAAATGACAAAATACTTCTGAATCAAAATTAATATTGGTAAAATATTTTTCAAATATTGTATTAAATATCTAATAATTTTACAAACTTTATTATTAAAATATACAGTGGAGATTGTCAAGCAAAATTCTTTTTTGAATGTGTAATACCAGTAAAAGCTAATCTAAATACTGCAGTCTTTAGAAATTCAAAGAATTTTCACTAAAGTAAAGAATATTCTGGAATTAAATATTTTATTACTTATAATAAATGGAATAAAAGGTTACTGTGAAAAATTGAGCATAAATTTCACAATAAATAGAAAACCAATAATCCCTACCTTTGCTCAAAAGTAAAGTCTTAAGTAGACTTTAAATAATATCCATATGTAGTACTATAATATTTGTATTGCAACTGCTTTCAAATGTTGTACTTATTTCGATATAAATATATAAAAATCAAATAAGGGAAATAATAAATTATTAATAAAAAGTTAAGCAAATAAAGAATTAAAAGTACAATATTTCATGAAATAAAAGTCTTAAAAGCTTACAGCGACTACAAATAAAAAATTAAAATTATGTGAGCTTTTGTTGGAATTATGTAAAAATCTTTCATTAAATGCATTCAATAAAAATTATTGCAAATTCTTTAGAATAAATTTACTGTAAATAATAAAATTTTAACATTTATTACAAAGTTTAAAGGTTTTTCGCAAAGAAAGCCTTCAATGTAATGGAAATCCCGAAAAATTTGCACAATTGTGTAAAAATCGAGAATAGGATTCAATTCATAAATTATTCGGATTGAAAACTATTTGAATGATTTTTAATGTATTCTGCATTTTAACGTTTATTTTCCTAATTGTTGTGCAAATAAATGATAGATTTTAGGGACGCTATTGTCCACTGAAAGCATAGAGAATCGCTGTGTGCTCTACATTTGGGAATGAATTGACTGTTGTATACAGTATTTGCATTAAATCTGTATTTGCTTTTAATATTAAACTCATGTGAGAATGTTATGCAATGCAATGTTAGGTGTGATTATGTTTGAAAAAAGTGATGAATAGGTATTACCATAAGTTTGATAGAAAACTCACTTTATAAAGAGCTGCCAAATGGCTTTTAGTGGCGATGAGAAAATGCTGATTAACTCCCGGGTGATCTAAATCATGACATACTGCAGCCAATAAGGAACACATGGCCTCTAAAGGGGTTAAATATTGGCGTATTTTGGGCTCCTGTATGAAACAATGCATGGCTTGTGTGACATCTGCGGCGTGGACAGAGTTGTGGTAGGGGTTGGTGTCGTGATATCCTGACAATAGTATAGACAATGTTTGGTATAAGAATTGAGTGAAATGCTGACGAGTGCTACAATTGTGTCAATACAGACACAAACTAATACCTGATTCCAAAAAACCTATCGATTGGTGCCATAAAAGAAAGAAAAAAAACTTTTTGTTCAGTTTTGTCGACAAATGCTTTGGGATTATATATATAATTGAGTTTTTTGTTAGGAAGGGCTAAACTTACGAAAACATCGCAAAACATTGATTACATCCAATTTAAAAATTCTTATAAAATCGTATTCAATAAACAGATGGAAGAGTAGACTCGAGAGGGAATGGCCACCGGTTAGGACATCGAGAGTGAATGTATTGAAGCGCCACTTCGATGACTGTTTCAAATAACGAGATGTAATGCCATAATAGCTGTGATCGAGGAGAGCGATGGGATCGATATGAATGCTTCGTTGGATACTTTTACGGCGCCGTAATGTTATCAGAAGATACCCCCGATTCTCCTCTATTTCCACGTCCTCCTCGAAAATCTGTTCGCCATCTTTGGGCGAATGTAGTTCCGGGACTTCAATCAAATGTAATCATCAGATGAATGTCAAAATAGTCATACATATGATCGACTGTAACACTCACTGCACTCTATGGTATGCCTATCACCGGATCCAATGCTTGTACTTAAATCTGATTGATCAACTGATGTCTGATGTGTATCTGTAAACCATATAAATTATTGTTTTAATATAATCTGCACTTAATTTTTATCTTCATTTCGTCGCTAATAAATAAATCTATAAAATGCGCAAAATATGAGTCAATAGACTAGCACTCAATGGTCTATAAAATATAAAATATTTATATACGGATTAAATTTCATTAAGAATATTATATGTCTATGAATACCAATGACCGACATTCACATGAAACACATTCACTTCTATTGCGTTATATAACTATTGTTTAACTAAAATATTTTGGCAAATAATAAACAACGAAATGATTGAAATTCTTGCTATTATTATATTATAAATTAGATTTTCAAGAATTAGAGCGATAAAAGTTGGAACAAATATTATGAATTCAAACATTACTTAAGCTTTCGTTTAAATGGCAAACGAGTCAATGAGTCGAATAATTTTTAAAACTAATTCTCGTTTATGTTTTGTGCGACAAAAGCGGAGCAAGAATTTCATTCCTAACATAAAATGCTCACAATTTTATGATTGCTTCACAAGAATATAATATTAGAGAATCGTTACCTAATATCCAGGAAAAGCACAGCGTTTGGTCGTCTTGAGAGTGAACTGTAATCACCGTCGGCTCCTGTATTCATAAATAAAAATGTCATTTTAAAAATAATATTTAAACATTATTAATATTGAATGAAAGTTGTTTCACTGACAAATGCAATAAATTTTCAACAAATTATTATGTAATTATTTTTACAATAAGATAAATGATTGTATATTTACCAAACATTAAGTTCTATAAATACTGTATTTAATATTTTATTTAAATTTATGCTCAATTGGCAATATTTTATAAGTTTTATTTGCAAATCAAACCATAAATATTTAAACAGTATTGGGTTTATTTGGATTTAATCTTTTAGAAATTTTATTAAAGATTTAAGAAATAAACAGAAAAAATATATTAATAAATTATATTTAATATCATAAATTAAAACTCGGGCTTATGCCATAGTGTTCAATACAGTGGTACTTTGTACAGTACGAATTAAATAATGTTAATAAGATTATAATATTATAACATGTATAGCACTAAACAATTTTCTAATTTTATTTTAAATCTGCAATTTCTTATTTAATTATATCAATAATTATATCACGTAATTATAGTTTTATGTGTATGCTTGCAATTATCAATATTTTAATTTATGTATAATGATTAATAATTATAAATCTTATTGCAATACATGAATAGTATATAAAAGGTACAGAATTGTATAACACTTTTTAAACATTTAAAAACTATTCAATGAGAAAAGCAATGAATAGCAAAGAAAAAAGTTGTGTAGTAATAGTTGTATTGTAAATACAGATACTGTCTACTGAACTGTAGTGATAGTGCGATACTATAGACAAGAGTGTGTAGTATTGAAGCAAATATTGTGCTTCAGTTCACTATATAAACGAACATTTGATCGATTGATGCAATTCTTGAAGAGAGGATAATCTTATGCTCACTTCAAACAAATAAGATTAGCCGACAATTGAATCAAATATAGTGCAGAAACAAATTGTTTGGTTCGCACTATACTTATGCCTGACCTCTCATTATTGACCAAACATTTTACTCAATGTTTAGTTTAATTTTCAATTAGGTTTTAAACTCTCATTCAAAGGGAAGACTTTATTTAATTTATACACAAACAATCAAAAGAATGTACCAATTCTTGTTAATATTTACCTTTTTGTATTTATTTCTATGCTTACAGTATACTAAGATTCTGTTAAATTCTATAAAGAATTCATACAAATTTAATTCACAATTAAAATTAAGTCACTTGAGATTAAAATGGTAAATAGTAATGAAATGATTGTTAAAAATCTGAATTGTATATAATCTAACAATAGTATTTACACTCTAACAATATTTGAATTTAACGTTTAAAGTTGAAACGATACAAATAATAGCAAATAACTTCATTATTTATTAAATACTTTTATAAATCATCATTTAAATATGTATGATTCTGTTTTCAAAATATTCTCATTAATCATAAATAATATATTTTTTATATTTGAAATCATGCAAATGCATTTCGACGTAATATTATTATACAAAAAACTTTATAAATTGGAAAATTATTATTTAATTCTTATACAAATAAAGCACTGCATTCTACTATACATTTCTATATACATTATGACTAATCTTAAAAGAGATTCAAATCTGGATAAATAATTTATTCCTGGAACATTTTTATATATATTTCGCAATTAACAAAAACATTTTACTGTATTTCGTAAAATACAGTAACTATAAAGGAAAATATAATGCTGTAGTTGATTCAAATAATCAAATCAATTCATTATACAAAGTTTTACTTATAGGTTTTCAGAATATATTCCTAAGAGATTGTCAGGATTATTCGTAAAATACAGTAACTATAAAGGAAAATATAATGCTGTAGTTGATTCAAATAATCAAATCAATTCATTATACAAAGTTTTACTTATAGGTTTTCACAATATTTTCCTAAGAGATTGTCAGGATTTAAAATATTTTATAATAGTCATATAAAATAAATTTTTAATTCAAGATATTATGTATTCTATTGCTAGTTCATTAAGTTAAGTTAAAGTGGATAATAATATAATATTACAGTTATATAGCATTAGTATTTTAATAATAGTATTTATAAGTCAAGATAACTAAATAGCGTATGAATAACCAGGAAGAGTTTGTACTCATTTAATTATTTAAAAGTCTACCGGATGTTAAGTTAAAATAAAATCCGGTAACAACTTTCAGTAAGCAACCTGGATGAAGTACTACAGATTAAAATAGCGTATGAATAACTAGGAAGAGTTGTACTCATTTAATTATTTAAAAATCTACCGGATGTTAAGTTAAAATAAAATCCGGTAACAACTTTCAGTAAGCTACCTGGATGAAGTACTACAGATTTTATTGAGAAATAGTGATTCTTGTAACTATAAAATAGTAACTATTGTACTTTTTGATTTGTGTACAACTACAAAACTATATTTGTGTATAATCCAGTTGTTATGTTATCATATAGACTATTACATTATGTGTTAGACTCACAGTATTTATGCAATAATAGGGTTTAGTTTTATTAAGCTTCCTCTACGAGTTGTATTGTGTTATTGCTTTTCAATTAATAAATATAATTATTAATATATTCACAATTAATTAGAAAAAACTAATTGTTTAATCACAAGCGAATGCATTTTAGGGTCAACACAACAACACTAGTGTTTTGAGATAAACCTAAATACTTACAATTGTTAGTAATTCTCTATTCCTATAAACTAAGAATTACATGTATTTTCATTAAACCATTTTGTAATTATAAAAATAAGAGATCTAATTTCAAAAATAAAAATTTGTAAACTGTCTCATTGTTCAAACTTGTTGATGGCTAAATTAAATTCCTTTACATAATCATTATACAGAACTACATTGTAACAAGGATTAAATATTTAACATATAATAAATTATTATTAGAATTGAATACAACTAAAAATAATTATCAAAAACTTAGATTTGGCTTAAATTCAACTAGCAGAGCCAATAACCTCATGAATGTGTGATTTAAGCAAAATCTTTATTAAATTCAACGATTCTTGAAATTAGTTTCACAAAAATGAGAATAAATTTCAAATTTTACAAAATCCGATATAAACTTAAGAGGATCTAATCATACAAAGTAGTCGTACTCTAACGTTAACAAGAAAAAGTTCATTGGATTATAAGATATTGGGATTTAATAAATCTATATTTTATGGATTATTTCGGAAATGGATATTTATTGATTTAGAAATGGTTTGAAATGTCATTGTCTTATATAACTGCCAACTCATGCCTATAATTGAGGGTTAAATGCAATTCTATTTCTAACTTTGAGACTAATATTAGGTATTATTTAAATGAGAATCAAATGATTATTATAATAGTTGTTTATACGGTATAATTGAGGCATTTGTTTGAAGGCCTCGCTTCTAATATCTAATCATAATTGGCTCTTAAATGACAAATATTACAAACAGTGACTAAATTGATGGTCACATTTGGAAAACAAGTTTAATCAGAAAAATAAACCCATTTGTCAAATACTAGTGATTGGTCTGTATTTGTCTATTTGTATGAACACAAAAGAATTGACCCAAATTTGAAATCATTTGAAAGCATTTTGCTGATATTGTGTTAATTTATTGTATTTATCAAATGTCTTATTGATTAATATCTGACGACAATGTACTCTATTTCAGCAAATTGTATGGAAAACATTGCCAAAAACGAAATAAAAATTGCTTTATTTTGTGTTTGTTTTCATATTTCGCACTTCATTTCATTCATAAATCTTCGCTTAAATGAGTTCACATGAGTTTGCTTTCTATGAAATGTTTGAGACAAACAATTCATTTAAAACTAAAATCTTTTTGTTCATCAAATTCTTTGGTTAGATATCCACTCAAAGCTAGCACTGGATAACCGGAAGTATAATATAAATTACAGTTTTGATGGCAATATATGAAACCATAGTTAAAATAGTAATAAATATTTCAATTTCATGGGTAATCAAGTGAATAGCAGTGGAAAACTCAGACATATATCGATATATCGTACAAATTCCTATTCAATCACAATATTGTAAAATAAAATGAATTTGATTAACGTATGCTGGAATAGACTGGAAAAGATTTTTGTACTTATTGGCAATTTCTTATGAAATAAGTTTTTGTCGAAAAGTTCGGTTTCTTAACATTGATGTCCGGCTCATTTTGACTTAAATTCCACTTTCTTTTTCCTTATAATACTTATACACTTATATACGGCTATAAATTGAAACTACTTTCTGGAATGAAATTTATATTTCAAAGCTCTTTTGTAATATATTTTGTCATTTGTGCTAAATTATAATAACGCCTAAAGTAAAGATTTACTCCAAAAGATCTATATTTTTATAATAGTGTGTGAATTGTGTGTCGGAAACAAAACCCATTTCTTTATTTTCTCGGGTTTTATTGAAAGACAATTGAATTTCTAAAAATATAGAGAATAATATATATAACACATTGAACTCAGTTTTATCGCATTTTATTTAACACTAAATAATAATTAATGTATTGTATAAACTAATATTTTTCATGTATAATAAATTAATTGAAAATTTGTCATCAAATTGGATATCTTTTGATTTATAAATAATTGTTTCTAAAATAGCAATTAATTTTCATACGTATTTATTTTTATTGTATTTTTGTCTTATTATCAGTAAAAATGGTCAAATGAGAGCTAATGGAGTCAATTGTGTTGAACACTAATTGTCTTAACAATAGATACTATTATTTAGGCCTAAGTCGGAGACCTTATTGATTGAGTCAATCGCCCCAACATTCAAAGCAATGTATTGTCTTCACTGATCACCACTTGTATTAATACAACTGTACATCACTTTATCATTTCATGTGCACACAGTTTCACGTTTTTTATTAATCAATTATAACATAAATATAGATTGTTTTGTTAAATAGTAAAAATTCTGGTATTATATCATATTCCTATATATAAATAGTTTAACTTAAATTAGTTTAACATATGGGAAATGTATTGATAAATATTAAAAACAATTTTTATAAAATTTAGTATTTGGCATAAATAATCTATAAAAACCTAAGAATTAGAACATTTGTATGTTATAACATTTGCACAATAAATATATTTAGTCTGACGTGAGCTACAAATATCGAAATAATAACATAGAT